TTTTTTTTTTCCCTTTCCGCACTGAGCCCACCGAGACTGTCTTTGACTCATCGCGCAGAGAACGTGCCGGGAACCATTTACATCTGGCTGGTGGAGCCACAAAGCGCCTCTGCACCAATTTTGCTGGCTATGCTTCTCCTCGCTGCCCCAGTCACTCGCGCGTGCTGGCAACCAGCGGGCACTAGAGAAGACTCTGCCATCGCTGCGATAGGAGCTACACTTGGCCTCGTCTGCGGGACAAGCGCCATCTATCAATGGTCCAGAAACCCCGACAAGAGTCAGAATGCTGAAGCAATTCCAATTCCCATTGGTGAGTCCAGAGCGCGAGCTCATCGAGGTCAGCGCAAAGGCGAACGCCCAGGTCTTGACGTTTCCTCGATTCCTTCGCTCGTACCTCAAAGACGGATTCGCAGCACACGTGCTTCGCTGGTCGCCTGATGGTGCTAACCTACTGTTGGCCGACGCCACGGCAGGCGCATTCTGCTGTGCCATTGATGCTGATGGCCAAGACGGATCGCGCTCCATCTCGATCGCAGACGAGAGCCGCTGATCGTCTATTTAGTCTTGCTCACGCCTTGCTAGTACTGACCGAATCGCTTGCAAGATGTACAATACAATGTGAAGATCGCTGACCCGATGAAGGAAAAGACAGATGTCGAAATCGCTTGGACCTGCTGCTATGTCAAGTTGCTGCAACCCTGAGCGTCTTGTCTGCTCCCCAAATTGCACAGCGTGATGAGATTTAGCGGCCCAAGCGGACAGGAAATGCGGGGAAGCTGGCGCAGGTGCCCTTCGCAACTCACCTCCAACCCTGCACCTGTACAGGAAGTTGACCACCACCTCTCCCTCCTTGGGAGCTGGCAAAGAATGAAAGTGTCTTCCTGCCACTGCCCCCAGATGTGTAGCCGCGGCATCAGAGTCCGCAAAGTGCGCAGGGGCCTCGATATCTTCCGCATCTTCATCATTTGCAACCGTGCCATTGCCAGCGCCCAATGCGGCATCGACACCTGAGCCCTTCCTTGCATTTGCTTGACCAGGCGGACTTCTCGCTCTCAAACGGCTGCGCTTGGATGAGCCGGGATGCTCTGCAGGACTGCGCGATCTCCTCCTCTTCACTGATGCTCGACCCGCTCTGGAAGTGCTCGGACCAGTC